AGGAATATTGGACAACCCCCATATCGGGGTTATATGGGGTGAAAGGCGACCCTTATGTCCACCTGTAATGGCCCCTTGGAAACCCTCATATTGCCAGTAGCTAATGAAATGGTAACCTAATTTGGGGTTCAGGGTTTGGTAGCCTCTCACTGGTGTTTTGGGGGGGATTGGTGCAACTTCCACGCTCTATCCTTGGAAAAGAGTGTCATGGGGGGCTCCGCAATAAGGCTCATTATTGCTCACCCTCTTTTGCACTGGTATGCGCAGTCATTATACAATCCTTTACCAACCTCACTCAAATGGCTTCTCGACAGGGGCCTTCAGCATGGCGAACCTATCAATCAACAAACCTCAGCATGCGGGATTCCCAAAATTAAGGGTACCTTTTTGGGGGTCCCTAGAATAAGGAACTTGGTGTCCTTGTGGGGTCCCCCCATTTAGGGAAACTACTCTTTCCTAGAATTCTAGCTCTATAACAAACCTACACGGCGTCATTGCCCTTGTATCATGAGCTGACTCCGGGCTTGGCCAGCTGTAGGCCCAAGCGGCTCGACCAAATCCGAGGAAGCGTAGATCACAACCTCAGCCAGAATGCGCCGGAAGCTCTGCGAGGGCTCACTGCAGCTACCAGCTACCAGAGTTGGCTTGATTCTGGGTTGAACGGGTTTTGGAATGAACACACGCCGGAGTCGGGCATGAGATGTCTAAGAGGCCAGGATACTTTTTTTGTGCACGCAACGCTGAAAGCATCACGCTCCATAGCACTCACTCATGTAAGTGCAGGCCTCCCTTCACGCACACATCTGGCTGTCTTCTTGAGGTCAAATCATGCGCCACTCAAATTCTTCCTGACACTGCTGAGGCGTCGACATGACTGTAGCCATTCCTGCAGGGCATCGATAGGTTGTTGGTGTTCACGGCATTAGGTGCTGCTTTCTCTTGATTGCTTAAACCTCGAAATCACCCTCAAATGTAAGGGACAGGGCTATGCCTTTAGCAGCCGCCAGTGCTGATTCTTCAGACTCTGCAGTGAAACCTACTGGCATTGGGTTGGGGTTCAAAACCCATGTAACTAACCCTAATCTTCTGAATTTCCAAACGACTCCTGTGCAGGTTCCGTTGCACCGTCGAGTCATGCACGCTACGAAGAACCCTTGCACTTTGATTGACTATTGCAGGGGAAACGCACTAGAACCCTACCACTCGGATGTCTGGGGTGATTGGTCAAGGGCTTATACTTGACGCTATACCTGTCGTCTGTTTCCCAGTTTCAAGCGCCTGTCAGAAAGTCTCTCTGACCCTTCGAAAAAGCTAGAAACCATCCCCGGCACAGGCAAGTTCAAAAACAAAATAAAAGCAAAGGCTCCTACCACACTCAAGCCTAAACCTTTCTCGAGGACTCCCCCTGGGTCCTTGTCAATCCTTTTATCTGGTTCCTATCAGGACAATGATATCATGTAATTGCCATTCCTTGCTAGCTGTTAGTATAACAAGAATTAAGAGTAATTTTGGATTATGACCCGGTTTCATCCCCCGTCTCACAGGGCCATCTATCTTGAGACGCCCTCTCCTGGGAGTCTCGGGCGGCACAAACAGCATGTCCGTGCCAACGGAAACTACGCCGAGCTGCGAGCGGCCTACGCGGGCTATTCAGGTTTAGCTTTACCTTGTGTGCTTTTTGGGGGGGCCTTCAGATGGATTGGGTCTAGGGCTACGGGGTAATTAAAGAGTTTTAGAATTAAGGGGAATTAGACAAGGAATGTGCAATTTATGCATGTGAGCTCTAGGCTAATGGTCTTAGCTCAGGGACTGAGATGTGAACGCCTTCTTGTGCATAATTTTGCGGGCTTCATGATCTGACAACATCTCCGGGGCTAAGGTTCCAAGATTCGGGTTTATGGAAAAGGGCCAGGGGTTTCGGAAACTCCGTGTAGCATTCAAGGCTTGGGCTCCGTGCTGTAGAGTTGCGGCAGGGGCCAAAAGAGATCATCCCTGTACGCTGCAATAGGGTGTTTCAACAGTCTTCCAGGATGGAGGGTGGCGTTTTTGACATGAAGTTTCTTCAAAACTAGAAACTCCTGAACCTCATCTCCTACACCAAGTCCTGCACTGATAGCCAAAGAACAGAGTTCTGACCACCACTTGTACTGTGAACCATGTTCTGAGTCCAGGTTCTTGCGTCAAACTTGGAGTCTGCGGATTTTGCATCGGGCAACCAGGAGAACTGTCTGGCTGAAGGGTCGAATGTGAACCAGTTCAGGCAGATAGGACGGCTTTGTAGCCTACACCTGCCACCCATGTTCGGAGGTCCGCATAGCGAGGTTGGGGGTTAGGAGGGGGGATGGGCATGGCGTATTTGGGAGGGTCATGTGACACTTTGACGGCGAGAAGTGAAGGCAACAAGTGCTCCAGCCATCTCCAACCGACCCCAACTTGATGAGAGGAACCAACGTATCTCCCTTCAAGTCTGATGTTTCATCCCTGCAAATCCTGAGTCCAGAAACAATCACAAAGGACAACCAGTCGCTAACAATGTTGCCTGTCCATGGCATATTGCCATTATCACCTTGGATCCCGGCTAGCTTGAGGCAGGGAGTATGAATTGCTTTTTGTTTTTGAATCTGAAAGATGTAACGATCGAAAACAAGCCGTGAATCCTATGGCAGAAGGAAAATACCGACCTAGAAACGGCCCGGTAAACGTAACTTGCATCCTGACCTGAAACGCACGTACATAGTCCTGCTTGCTAGCAGGGAAGGAAGGATTCGTGCATGAATATCAGCGCGGGCGAGACCCCTGTTTCTAGACTTTCGCACGAGGGCTTGGAAAGTACCCTGCCTAAATTGTCTGATCTTTGCTGCATATCCGGGCAGACCTCACCTACCACTGTGGGTCCTGGAGGGCCAACCCACCTCAGGTTTAGAGCGCAAAATCCGAACCCAAATCGCAACCCTAAGCATACTAAAGATGGGGGCAAAGGGCCCAAGGTCTTTGCAGGTTCCGAGCCATCTGCAAGGTACACATAATACTCCGTGACCTCCCGGGCAAGGGCCATCCACCGGATAAGACCGACAAGACACTTTGAAACTAGCCACGGCAGCCCTCTCAGGGAACCGTTGCACCATTCAAAGCAGATGGAGTGAAAGCATGAGATTCGCACTTTGCAATGTACCAATTCTGAGAAGTGCGAATAGTAATGCGAACGCTAGAGCGACCTGGCAGGGGCTATTTGGCCCTAAGGCCACTATGTTTTTCTTTAAGGTGTTGCTGACCACTGAGCATGCTCAGCCTGATGCCCCCCTTCCAGCAGGACAAAGCAGGACAGCGTCTACTGCTTCTAACATGCGGTACCCAGAAGTAGGAATTGAGAGCAGATTTTCTTCATCAATCTTTAGCATCGGGCAGTTGAGGGCTCTGGCAGGGATGCCGCGGAGCCAAATGTGTGCATCCATGTCTTTTGCGGGTGCTTTCCAGTTGGGGTCTGTTTTCAGCTATTATGCTTTTTGAAGGGGGATTCGGTTAGCATGAGGTGTAGACTAGAGTCCTTTCAGACCTAGACTTCAAAGTCATGGCGACAAGTGCTTCTTTTCGGCACTAGCTAACACCAGGACGGAACTGCCTTCTCCACATATTCTCCGGAACAATGTGGGTCTTTGGTTGTAAGATGATCGATGGCCCAGGGTGGTCTCAAAATGCTTGGATACCAGCTTACGCCTAGTACCTGCCATGCCTCTAACCGCATCCTTGTATTTGTAATCCCTGCAATTCCTTTCAGCCATCTTCACACCACATATGGATCCGAAATAGACATTACACGCATCGACAAAACCAAAAACACCCCGTTTCTCCAAATGTCAGGTCCCCCGCTTCAGCAAAAGCACACGACCGAGCCCCAAAGAAAAGAAGTGAATCGTGACTTTGAACAATCTTCAGTTGCTGCCTGCTGGTTCACAATTGGCTCTGTCCATGTGATGTTGGAGCCCAGGTCGTTGAAATCCAGATCGAGATCCTCGAAGACCTTGTGCTTAACCATGTCACTACGATGACAGTTCGGGATAGGGCATGCCTTCTCAAATGCAGCCAAGTGAGAAGTTCATTCACAATGTAACGACTGACAGGAACACTGGACATAGAATTGTTGCATGCCTTCTGAAATGCAGCCAACTCAGAAACTCAATCACAGTGTGACGACTGCCAGGAACACTGGACATGAAATTGTTGCGGGCAATTATGATGGTTGTTCTGATCAATTGCTTTCAGTTCACGTTCAAACGCTTCAAGGTCCCATTAAGGATTGTCCGTTGGGAGCACCAGCACGCTAGCTCTTGCTCGTAATCAACGTCTGGGTATGTCTCAGCCTCAGCCTACTGAGAACAAAAGTTGGTTTGCAGGTGCAAAAAATGCTCAACATCAAAGGTCAAGCTGTACAGATTGGACTGCATGCAACAAGAAACCCGGGCACGCACCTCACCGTAGAACTCGTGGCCATATTTTGCCCAGAGTACGGCTTTAGGAACTCGATGTGGATTCTGAGGAATGAGCCCAAAGCCCCAGACCCCAGCGGCTACACCCTCATCCCGTATCCTGCACTTAAGCCCCGCGCCAGGTTCACCTTTGGGCACGGATCTAATATGCAACATTCCAGAACAGGACCCCATGCGCAGCCCAACTCATAGACTCGAAGGGCTGTTTCTGAATTATACCTGTGAGGGGTGTGTACTTCTTCGCACATTATTGGGATGATAACCGTATTTTGCGGACTGAGTATGTGACAAGCACTCTCAGCATGCGGCGATGCTAGAAACGATGGAGATCGTGTCTGACAGCGCAAAGTACCCTGGCGTCGTTTGCTCCACCAGGTAGGAGCGCGTGTAAATCCTTAGAGCGAAGGAGACTTGGATGACTTTGAGGAAATCTTGAGTACATGTTGCTTTCTATATAGCATGCATAAAGCAGTCCGTATGATGAACCCCCATCAAGAGCTGTAGTTGTAATTCCATAAATGTTCGGTCCGCGAACAGCCCATGCGGGCCACTAGTAGGGCGGACTGAAGAGTTGGCATACACTAGACCTTGAATACGCAGGTCTTTATCCGAAACACTATGGGAAGAAATATAACATCTCAACAGCTGCGGAAGTGCTTCAGCTGCAGGTTGTGTTCTAATCCCCACCCCCTAATCTTAAAACTCCCCACTTCTAATATAAAGTACGCCCAATGTATATGTATATATGTGTATATTAGTATACCACAATGGGAATATTCAGCATGAAGCGGTATTATTTTTAGGAGGAGGAAGTATCAGCTGAAGAGCAAAAATGACTCATGTGCAGCAAGGATACACCAAGTGGGTGAAAGCAGGGAGCTGAGAGATCTCCGGAGCCAGAAGCTCTCGACTAGTGCCTGGGTGCGTGGTTTGGGGTTTAGGGTCTTCTAAATGTGATGATGATTGCGCCTCTTTAGGTCCACATTCTTCAGCTTCTAGCTCCTTTGCTGGGTTCTCGTCAAATAGTGTTCTCTTTTTTCGGTGCACCTTCGGGACTTCCTTTAATTTTTTGGTGCACCAGCCATGTGCCCGTGGAGACATCTCCACTAGGTCGGATCTGCCTTTCTGTGTGAAGATTTGGGATTTCCCAAGACTAGGGGTACCGTTTGCGGCGCCCACAGAATAAGGATCATCGTATATTGGGGTCTATGCTTAGGTCCCCTGCTTCTGGCAACTGGCAGTTCATGGGTTTTGTGGAGGGGACGTGGGGATGGTCTAGCGACATGGGTATTTCTAAAAACGGGGGCCTACGTGGCGCCCTAGATGCATAAGGATGACAAAAAGATTATGGTGGTCCGTATTCTGGATTCTATATGGCAGTTCCGAGAAAATACCATATGCTTACGTAGTGCTATCGATCGATGAGTATCGTGAGGCCTTACAGCCAAACCCCCGACAACATCCAAGCCTGCAGAGGGCCTGAGCAGTTACAATGAGCTTGGATCTCGGATATGGTATACTAGGATGGTACTTAGGACTAGCAAAGAGTTCCACTAATCAATCAAGCCTTTGCATTGAAGCCTCAATTCAGAGCATCTGGGGCACAGGCCGACAGGCACGATGCTGCCCACGGGACTGCGATTGGTGCCTATTGCATCTTCCGCAAAGTAGAGGAGGTAGTCCTGCGTTCTTTTTGACAAGGGGCCTACCTGAAGGTTTGGGAACGTTGGACTTTGAGAGTTTCTTGTCCAGGGTGTGTACTCGCAGATGCGAACACGCGCAGCGGGTGCTAGTAATGGCTACTGCACCCCAGCTTTGAAACCCCGCCAGTTATACGTACGCAAATTCCTGAAACAGTCACGAACGGTTAAGGTGTTGAGCTCTCAAGTTTTGAAGGCCCGCCGTAGCTTCTGGGCGCAGACACCGAAGCCGCCGCACATACCCTGTTCCCATGTCCCTGGCTCCTGAACTCGATCGGAGACGGCAGGCTCTTGCCAGGTGACATTGCCTCCAAACTCGAGTGGATCGAGATCCTCGGACCAGCAACTTCTGGGCATGGTCCAAGCAGGTGGGCTTTACGCGCTTCAGTGAGGATTTGGGGGGTGTCGTCACGCATTTCTTCCTTTGTATTCGTGCGAGGCAAACATTAGTCGTATGGCAGGTTGTCGAAATTGTGGTCCCTTTCGGGGTCCCCATTACACTGTGGCCACTTGCTGTAGGGTACTCATCATAACTTTAAGAGGCTTCAAAGTGGATTTGGGGATGGTGCCGTGCAGGGACGTGCAGGGTCTAAGTAGAAAGCTTGAGACGGGGGTTCTTTATAAGGACGCTGAGAAGAATTACACGGGCTGCATAAGCATTCCATGATTTCAATATCAGCGTCATGAATCGACCCTAAACCCTAAAACCCCAAACCCTACAACCCTTAAACTCAAAGGCTTTAATCCCTAAAACCCTAAACCCTAACTAGTGCCTTTATCTGGAACAAGATGGATAGTTGGCTCTGCTCGGAGATGCGCCGGCTATCCGCTAGTTTTAGGTCTGTAAAGAACAGAAAGAAAGGAGGAGCACAGCCAACATGCTTTCATCACGCATTGATGGCTGTGCCAGTACGTGACAGGCCACTATTGGAGGTATAGCGTTTGATGCTATGTGGAAGCCTATGAGAGTCTTTTCAGCTGTCATCGTCCCCCAGATCCTGAATTGGAAGCGCTAAGCCCAGGCAATCTTGGCCTAGCGGCATCATCAATGAAGTCAATTCCTCAGCACGAGGCTCATGACTTCAGGGTTATGAAAATAGGCCCGGGGACGCAAGGGTTTCAAATGCAGGCGTCCTACAAAAGGCCACTGCGCTTGACACCCTACGTCAGCTGTACGAAGGGACAGGGTCGGAGGTGAAAGCGGACATGCTAAAGCTGCAAGAGGCATGGAAAGCGATCTGCGTAAAGCCACCCCGACTCATGTTACATTTCATCACCAAGGAACAACAGCAGCCAACAAATTTGAACTCAAACATCCTGAACGGTAAAAAACCCAAATCTCAACATTCTCGCCACTTTCAGGCTTTAAATCCCGAGTCCAAGATTCCTGATACCGTGGCGGTGGCGTCGAAGATCTCGTGCGCAATTGGTGAGGACTGCTCCACCTTTCCACTCGACTGTTGACGCTGCAATGTTCTATAAGAACAATTTTTTGTTCGGTTCTACACGGGTCTTCTGTGAGGACTGCTACTTTTCTCCAGGGATTGAAAGGGCATGATGTTAAGATGCAGCAGGCTTGCAAGCGGCCAAAGATGAGAGGTGTGGATTTGATTTCAAGTTGTGGGCAATAGAACCGTATTGAAAAGGAGACGGAAACAGGATTTGAGGATATTGAATTTCCATATTACGCGCATCTCGAGAATGGACTACAATGACTACAAAGTCTGCGGAGCCCTCGTCCCAAGGTTGTTGCACCTGAGTCACGTCAGGGTCCTGCGATACTGCACACGGCAGGCACCGATAAAAACCGCCCTTGTGATCATTCTTCACAACACATAACGATGATCAACACGTAATGCGGATCTAGTTGCAGCTCATGGTTGAGACCCCGAGACTTGCAACACACTCGGAACCTCAAAAGTGCCAAGGGCCAGCAAACCCTCTGACCCCAGCTCCTGCCCAACGTCATCAAGAACTTCCGACATCGTGGCGCTTGAAGGGACATGAGGAGTGGACTATAAGCCCAAACCATGGGCATAATGTCAGGATAGTTATAGGCCATAAGTTATAGGAGTCCACTCTCCCTTCAGCACGAGTAAGTCAAGCAAAGACATTTCCCAAGTCACTTTCTTGTTTGGAAACTAACCACAGAGAAGATTTGGGACCACAAACTTAGGTCCTTCTTTGGGGCTCCGTGGAATGAGGATTGCGATTTTTTTTTTGGGGGGGAGGGGGGGNNCCCAAGATTCGGGGTACCATTTTGGGGATCCTTTTAAAAGGCTTATGTTACTTTGGGGTCTATATTGGGGTCCCCGTAATTTGGGAAAGGACCTATTTATAGGGGCAGACACAAAAAGACCCGTGTCTTTTAGAAACCCAAGCAGTCCTGGCTGGCAGGAACGAAGGAATGGATCCTCATAGCAATCCCGCATCATCCTCCCCAGCACCCAATCCCCAACTCCCTACTAAGCAGCTGGTGGTCTAACCCTTAAAGCCGACAGGGTGCCAATGTCGAAGCGGTGTAGATCACCTCAGCTGGTCAGCCCACGCGGTTTAATCTTCAAGCCCCATAGAGCCACACATCAACCGGGGTTGACCTTCAGGACTTTAGCCCTGGAACTCACCTTCATTCGCTTCATTGAGGTTTCATTGGCCGACCAACTAGGGGTCCCAGAATGTGCTGGGTAGCGTGTTTTAAATGACCTCTAGATTGGGCACATACGTCTGACCAGGCCTCCATGTTGACACTCTGTGAAGGAGAGATATGCTTACACTCAGTTTTACACAGGGTAGTGATAAAGGAAACAGATTTCTGAAACCCACCGTCAATCAGGGTTGTGTAAGAGCTCCGCAACTTCTGCACTCAGCAGAATTCACAGCCAAAGATAGTAGATCAGCAATAGCAAAACACACGCAGCTTGCGGCCTCCCGTGGAAACCTCTCGTTGAAGACCGCGCGGCAGCCTTGCACTTCGAACCTGGACACCTGGACCTTGAGACCAAAGACCCACTCCCAAATTCCCAGTCTCTACTGCCTGGACCTGTGACCCTAATCCCTGAAATCTTGCACCCTTAAGACAAAACCCTATACATCCCATAATCCCTGAACCGCATATGCAAGCCCTAAACCCACCAATCCCCATATTCAGTCAACTCCATGTCGCAATTTATCAAAACAATGGCCATGTAATTCTTAAAGTGACCGCCTAACCTCTAACCTCTCTGTCTCTCTCTCTCTCTCTATATATACATATATATATCTATTTATCTATCTATCCCCGGGCCCACCCCTAAAGCCTACCCCTAAACCCCGAAACCCTAAAACCTTAACCCCTGAACCCTAAATCCAAGATGACCTAAACCCTAAACCCGGAACTTGGGATGCTGGACAGCTACGAAGTGAGTGAAGTCACTTCTCGGTGTCTCCACCTGCGTATTTGGAGGGTCTCATGCAGGGCTCAGTAAATTCAAAGCAAATGGAAATTTCTGTATGATTTACGGCTTAGGGTTTGGTAAGTATAGGTTAATCTGCCGAGCTTTGCCGGCTAAGATTTCTCCTGACATGGCTTGTGATCTCCGTCTTGTCTTTACGGGAAGAACTGACTGCCTCTGAGGTCGGCGGCTTGAGCCGGAGAGGCACACCTAGCTAAGTCATGTTCATTTCGGGCCTGGTGGCACAGGCTGGCCTGGCCGTCGCACTTCCAAAACCCCGCCATCATGTGAACCAAGCCCTGCTAATGCTTCTGATCGGGAGAAATGCACGAAAAAATGCCGGTCTTGCCATCCGGTCTTTTTTTGGTTTGGAAGTTCTTGTTCTCTCTAGTTTAATTCAAAACGACCTAAAATGGGGTGGTCCCAATTGTGCTGATGATGTTCCTGTACGAGGCGCGCGCGCGCGCCTTGTACAGAAGCGTCATCAGAGACCGGGAGGGGTCAAAAACCTAAGAAAAGCCATCAAAAACGGCATTGAACACGGTTCTCTGCGCAGGCTGACCATGTCTTAGTCCACAAGCACATCTTTTACAAATGAAAAGCAACATCTAACGTATTTGATAAGCATAAAGGGAGGCAAAATCCTAGCTCAGCAATCACAAGAATGCTGGAAATACGAGCAAAGCACACCAAAAAGACACGTTTGTAGGGTTTGGCCTGGGCAATGCACGCCAAGCCGTTTTCATACTTGTCATGCAGTGCAGGTGCTACCAAGACTGGTACTTACAGCCACAAACACTGCCCACAGCATGTATTTTGAGCATTTTGTTGGGGTGTATAACGCATTGTCAGGTCTCAGCAACCCCCCAAGAGCCAGCATCATGAGCATCATGAGGTTTGTTTGGGAAGCTTCACAAGCGCAGCCAAAAATCATCGCAACCCCCTCCAGGGCTGCCAAGGGATGGGGTCGGAGGGAGTGGCGTCACCCCGTATAAGCATAGCTTAGCTAGGCGTGCATCCGCACTGGACCATGACGGCCAGGCCGGATACGGGGTTACGCCCCTGCCGCCGACCCTCCTCCCACTTGAAAGCACTGGATTTTGTTCTGGTGGGGGGTCAAAAATTGAATTAAAATGAATGATTCTTCAGAAGCGTTTGTGAGGCTTGCCCACAGCGGATGGAAGGTTTGGGGCAATTGTTTCCGGGCCAACATCAACAGCACAATTGGATCTTCGCTTCAAAAGGGAATTCGGGGCCCAAACAGGCCATCATGCTAGCTCTTGAGGGGCTGCTGGGACCTTAAAATGCACTATAAACCCTGTCAAAAACGCTCAAAACACACGCTGTGGGCAGTGTTTCAGGCTGTGACAGCACCCGCATTGCATGACAAGCGCGCAAAAGGCTCTGCGTGCAGCCAGGCCAAGATCTCGAAACTGCGCATGTCGCATGTTTTATTGAGATCTTTTGCCCTTATGTCCAGCACTGTTGTGCCTCCGCAGATATATGATTGTGCACTATTTTAGCTTGGCAAACACATTGAAAGATAGCTTCTGATTTGGAAAGAATGTACATGTGTGCACAAAACATGGTCAGCCTGCGCAGAGAACATGTTCAAAGCTGTTGTTGATGGCTCTTCTTGGGTTTGGGACGCCCCTGGTCCCAATTACGCCAAAATGGGGTCCCAATTGTCCGCGCGCGCGCGCGTCCCGTACAGGAGCCACCCCATTTTGGGTCGTTCTCATTAAACCTAGAGAGAACAAGTCATTCCGAAACGAAAAAAACCATCCCAGGCAGCAAGCACGTCATTTCTCATACACGTCTCCCGATCAGGAGCCTCAGCAGGGCTGGGGTGGGCTGGTTTTCGTATGACGGGCTGGGTGCGGGGGGGGGGGGGGCAGCGGT